TTTTATTTTCTTCTTGGAAAGATTCTGCAGTAATGATTCAGTCCAACAGAAATTACCACATTTTTTTGTTACTTCTTTAACATCAGAATTGGTAGAGCAGTTATCCAAAAGCTAACGAGTAAAAAGAAGAACATGATGTTATACTTTGCTAATCTATTGACCAAAATGAAAGCTCTTCTGAGGAAAAATAGAGAATCTCCTTAATACCTCACTCAAGTAAAGAAGAAGAAAAAGCTCATACGATGAACAATCAGAACATCACTGAAAAACAAAACAACCGCAATAAAAGCAGAATTTGAACTTTGGATGCACTAAATTTTTAACTGTTAATAAAGCTACATGTATGATATCTATGATGAACTAAAAAATGAACAGTCTAAACTATCAGTACAAAAATAGAGTCTCATCTTAAGAAGATCAAAGAAGAAGAAAAGATGGCAAACCTCATCAAAGTATGAAATGCCAAAAATCAGAATGGCAGATATATATACAGATAAATTGATGAAATGTAAGTGAAAAATTGTTTTGGTTGGTCTTCTTCACAAAGGGTCCTCTCAGAATGAGATGGTGAAAACATTATCTGGTTTTGGAGGAGAGTTTTTCTCAATGAACTTTTTCAAGCCTTTCTCACCACCAGGGAACCCCCCAGTAAGTCCCATCATTTCTTTCTCAAAACCATCTGCTGGAAGCTCATCACTTCCTTCATCACCAATTTCATCTTCTTGTTCTTTTGTACTTGATGCTGAGGGTGGAGGCTGATCAACAACAATAGGCCGTCTTTTCAGCTCTTGCTGAATACCCTTTTCTCCATTGCACAGTCCTCTCCCTCCCATCATTTCCAATATGTTGAACTTGGCTTGTGGCTTTAGCACCTCATGAGTTGGTGGAGCTTTTGGATGCACTGTGGAAGGTGGTGGTTTGAGAGGGAAAGGGTGTTCTTGGCCTAGGAATTGAGATCGAGGAAAAGGGTTGTTCAAGCCATGAAGAGTAGCAAAAGTAGCCATTCTTAGTTGTTTAATAAACAAGACACAAACATCTAGATTATGAACACAGTTTATGTATTGGGATATTATAGTTAGTCTCTATCTTTTCTTGTAAGAAAATTTAATGAACAGTTTCCTTGTGT